CACAATTCCCTGGCAGGCTGGTCGCGCCCCCCCCCCCCCCGGGGGTCTAGCTGGGGGGCGGGCTCGCTCAGTCTGGGAGGGGAGTGGGGTCTAAGTGAATAGAGCAGGGGTGTTGAGGGGCTGGGAGGCAGGACCCCTGGCTTTTCTCCCCGGCTCTGGGGGACGAGTGGGGGCTGGTGGGTTAGAGCTGGGGGGGCTGGGAGCCAGGACTCCGGGGTTCTCTCCTGGGCTCTGGGGAGGGGAGTGGGGGTTGGTGGTTAGAGCAGGAGCTCAGGTTCCTGACTTTCATCCTTCTCTGCCCTAGACCCCAATCCCGTCCAGGTGGAGCCCGGGAGAGAACCCCGGAGTCCTGGCTCCCAGCCCTTTGCCAAGTGGGACACGCTTCTCCTGTTCAGTGTGGCATTAGTGGGCATGTTCAGACCTTCCATGAGCTGGGCAGGCGTTGGGGTTGTCCTGAGCAGATCTCAGTTCCATGGCGGAGCCTCCTTGGTGGATTAAAGTGTTGCTCTCCCATTCCAGCGGCCTTCCCTTCAGTGCCGGCGCCTCTGGCCCCCCGGGGAGCGGGCATGGGGCAGAGGGCACCAGCTCGTGTCTGGCAATGGGGGGCACCCGCTGCTGCTGGACAGACTGGGGTCGGCACAGTCAGCAAGCATCTTGCCTTGGGCCCATCCGGCCGCAGGGCGGGGACTGGCTGGTGCAGGGGGGTGGGGAATGGGGCAGGGGCCTGTCCCCTCTAGGGAGCGCCGGCTCCCCGTCATGCTGGGGAGAGGGAGGCTATCCCTGTTAACTCTGTATTTGCCAGCTTGGCGCTGGCCCAGGAGCAGTGTGGGGGGAGGGGGGCACCTGGTGCTAAAAGGCAGCACCTGCTTCCTGTGCGGGTGAGCATCTGTGGGAGATAATTCCTCTAATCCCCTGCCGGGACGCTCAGGTACCAGCGCCAGGGAAGGGCTGCGGCTGGTTCCCGTCTGGGCGGAACCCAGGAGTCCTGGCTCCCCGCCCCCCTCCCAGAGCCGGGGGCAGAATTGGGGGGGGGGGTACCTTGTACTCGGGCTGGGAGGACGGTCGTGGTTCTGGGTGGGGCCCCTCATGGCTTCCTGAGGCAGCTGCTGCTGTGGGCCGGAGTGTCCCACTGGCAAGGGAGCAAGTGTTGAGTTGTGGGAGATAGCCTACCGTCTGGCTGGAAGCCGCCTTCGTGGGGCTCACAAGCCCTCCCTGAACGAGCCGTGACCCAGACCCCAAGATGACAGCTGCACCTACCCCGAAAGCAGGCATAACCCTTTCTTCCCTGCCCCTCCCCCTGGGGTAGCAATGCAAAACACACAGGGAAACTGAGTCTGAGTCAGGTCTAGTGGCTAGAGCAGGGGGGCTGGGAGCCAGGACTCCTGGGTTCTCTCCCTGGCTCTGTGGGCTCCATCGCCGGTCTCCATAGGGTCCCCTGTGCGAGCAGAGCTGTGCTGCCGGGGGTGGTGAGGGTAGTCTGGTGCCAGGTGGCGCATTAAGCATTAGTTGTTTGCACGATGCTGGTGCTTTAATTCCCTGACAGCCCCAAATACCGGGATCTGACCAGCGCTTTCAGCATTAACCCTTCCAGGGCTGCGGGTCGGCCTGGCACCCGCTCCCAGGAGCTGGGCCCAGCCAAGCTGGCACTCCGTGAACATAGCAAGGGATGAGTCCTGGGTACCCTGCTCCCCCATAATGTCCTCACAGGCCCTATGTGGGGATAAAAAGCATGTGCCTGCTCACTGATGACCCCCCAACTGCTGGCCTCCACTCCCCTCCCAGAGCTGGGGAAAGAACCCAGGAGTCCTGGCTCCCAGCCCCTCCGCTTGTCAGGCTCCTGGAGAGAGATTCCCTTGGTGAACCCACAGCGGGGGGAATTCCTGGACACCACAGGGTGATCTAGACCCACCGCACACGCACACTGTGTAAGGGCCCTTTTCCCCTCCCCAGCAGATGCCCCTTCTTCCCCCCACTCCCAGCTCTGAGCCAACCCAGGCTGCTGGCCTCCTGTTCCCTTAAGCAGCTTAGCTAATCTGGTCACTCCTGGAAGCTGCTGTCATGGTGATATGGGGTGGGGGGAGCTGTGCTTAGAAAAGGAGGGGGTCTGCCTAGAGGGGGAGTCTCCCCCTTCCTAGTGTCCCTGGGTCTGAGCCCCCCTCCAAAAAATCACTGACCTGTGAAAATGAGGAACCCCTCGTGAAAAATCATTGGTCTTGTGAAAATCTCAGGCCTCTTGTGAGATGCAGGGAGTGCGTGTGAAAAACCATCGTGACAATCTCTGGCCTCTTGTGAGATTCAGGGACCACTCATGAAAACCACTGGCCTCTTGTGAAAATCAATGACTACTTGTGAAAATCTCAGGTCTTTTATGAGAATCACATGTCTCTGGTGAGAATCAGGAACCACTTGTGAAAACCACAGGCCCCTTGGGAAAATATCCAGGCTCTTGTGAGAACCAGTCCTTGTGAGAACACGGCTGGTGAGAACCCACTGCCCATGGGAAGGGCGCTGTGGTCCCTGTCCGTCCGTGCCCCCTACAGCGGGGGCAGGGTGGGTGGGTTAGAGATGTGCCCAGGCTGGGAGAGGGGCAGCGGGCAGACCAGTTCACATGGCATGGTCCCTATAGTCTGGGGGTGGGCAACAGTTGGGGGCACGGGGTGGGGAGGGGCAGTGCCTGTGGAGTAGGTAGGGAGAGGAGATCACCCTGCCTCTGCCAGGGGTCCCCCTGCTGTGGAGGTTCACCAAGGGAGTGGCTCTCCAGGGGGCCGTAAGGGCAGGGGGTAAGTGCCCCCGGAGGGAGGGGAGCGGAGCCACGGTTAATGAGCTGCAGAAAGGGGGCGCAAGGAGAGGGGACTGGGGACGGGTCACACGGGGGATGGGGAGGGGGGAGAGGGACACAGCAAGGCAGCTGCCCAGCTCCCGGCTAAGCCGGCTCCACGTGGCTCCCCGGGGAGGGGAGTAGAGGGGAGAGTGGCCCGACGCTGGGAGCGCAAGGCACACGGGAGGAAGTAGACAGGCG